GCCGTTATATATATATATATATATATATATATATATATATATATATAAGGTGGTAAGGAATAAGATCAATAGGTCCTTTGCAGCAGAGGCTACGTGATCGCAAGAGTGCTCTTAAATGGAGTGCAAAGGATGACACCGGTTTCCCACAGCACCCAACTTCGACTATACTGATGTGTTACAAGTTAATCAACATAATAACGGTAATGAGTCCCTAAATGGGGCAGCAATCGGCTGATTTCTAAGATGCAATCGAACGATCGCAGGGTATTGCTGACATCAGCGGTAATAATGGATACTGATGGCAACAAGCAACTAGTTGGCTCATGCAGATCTAATCACCACAACCTAAGAAGAAGCAGAGTTAATCGATAGCGGAAGCTAAGATGGGTAAAATTTTACCACGGAACGGTTGCCATCTATCATAATTCTACCGACTGACGCGAAAACAGACAACTATCAATAGAATGATCGGTCAAAATGAGAGCCCTCAAAAACACAGATGGCAGAGACATTACCCTTCCAAAAAGACGGCAACCAAGAATGGTCTCCCCCGGTTACTCTTCCATGGTGATAAGGGACTGACAATATCCTTCAGCGGTAATACTCTACCTGTGCTTAGCTGGCATGCCCTCTCCAAAGCACGCAGGCTGAGGTACTGTCAGGTTGCGAAGCCTAGATAGCAAATGATGATTCCTGTGAATCAACGGCAACCAGCAGTTATTTTTCCTATGTCTGACTACTCATGAGTAAGGTGACCTACGCTTGTTTATTATAGCGCCGTTTTTCTTTCCTGTAGCTTGTTCCCTGAGGTTTTGCTTGATTTTTACATACCAAAGTTACTAACATGTGAATCTCGTCACCTATCTGTGTCTGCTTGGAATTCCGCGTCAACTCGTGCTAAAGCCTCGAATGTCTCCTCTAAAGGAAAAGCCCTGGGGCAAACTCTGAACCCCTCGGACGCTATCCGCTGCGCCAGCCCGACTTTCACCATCATCACAATCAACAGAATGAAGTTAGTGTTGAACACCGGCAACCCACCAGCAGTCTTATTCTTGTATTACCTTCGTATAGCATCTTATCCCATAGTGCTTGTTTGGATTCTGTTTCGAACGGACCTAGGCGTGCATTTCGATTTTATCTGTGGCACGTGCTAATTCGTCACGCTATCAGCTGAAGACTGCACAAAGTTTCCCGAATGTACTGCATTCTGCGCCGTTAGCTCTGTACAAGGCCTAAGTATACTGACTGACTCCCTGTATCGAAAGCTCAGCTGCCTCACTGCCTATTTTACTGCTCCTACCGATTGAGCTGCTGTTGATTAATCAGTTACCAATACAGGATCCACTGCCCTCGCCCGGATGTTCCTACTGCCTATTGAACACGAACTGCGTACGGTCCGATAGCTCCAATAGTTCTGTAAGATCCTTAGCCACCCGAATCCTACAGGAACGGTCTACATGTTGTGATCAGATTTGAAACACGGACCTTCAGGTCAGCAAATCAATGACTGCTAAGGGAGATCTGGAACGAAAACAGAACACTACTGGGACGGAAGGTGTTTCGATTGTGATACCAATCTTTAAAAAGGGCTCAAGAACAGCATGAGAAAACAATCGGCCTGAAAGCCATGAAACCCAAGGTGTCCTCTGGTATTATTGTGAACAGGCTGATTGGGTAACGCAAGAAACAAACTCGTGAAAAACAAGTTGGATTCTTCCTTGGCCGGTGACGCGTCGACCATATCAATACCTTCAGCCAAGTTCTTAAACATGCCTTCTAACAAGCATACAAAGAATCGTATTCCTTAGTCTGAAGGCCGTTTATTTGGCGGTCTGGCGATCAAAGGTGTTCCCTTGCATCGCATGCAGACTCCTCTGGGCGCGGGTTGTAGTCTCAGTTAATCACGTCCAGTGATTTAATACGAAGTTGTCCTATGCCATCGTCCACTTCGCAGGGCTCTTCGCTCAACCCACCTGCTATGACCTGGAAACGAGACACTGAGACACCAACAAATAAACTCTGTCGGTGCAACAACTGCTCCCTCCATGGCTAGAAATCTCGGCCTGCAACGGCTATTGACACTGACAAATATGGCGTAACCGCGCAGTCAGTGGTATTTCTGCATCAAAGCTATCGCGTTCAATGCGCAGGTGCCCATTACTTCAAACTAATTGCGCCAGTGCTTCCAATGTCATATATCTCCCACGCTCTCTCATTTTAAGGTAACCGACAATGAAGCAGCTGAAACTAAATTACCCTGGGTACGAGGTTTATAGCTGATGAACAGAGACGGACTGAACGCATCGTTCGAGGCGTTGAGCAAGCCAATCACATCGTTAATGAGTGGATATGCTGGCTTGTTCAGGCGCATTCAGCGCAAAACGGTGAAGTAGGCAAGGTGCCAACCGTTCGAATCCCGGCACGGTCAAGCATATGCACCATTGATGAGTTATAAAGAAGTCCTCTGCAGTAAGGATTCATCAAAATAATTGTATCAGGACAAGAGGGATCGTAGAGCAAAAGCGTTGCCAGCGATGTGCCGCATCCATGATGAAGAGACCGGGTCTTATCGTGGTTTGAGAGTTTGTGCCTCCAAGAACCATTCAGCCATACTGGGGAGTGTCTGTGCGACACCCACTTTCCCATACCAGGTTAGTCAACGGTTAGAAGTCTGACTAATGGTCTCCCATACCTCCAAATC